TAGGTTTCCGGCCGAACTTCGTTACCGCAAACAATTATTGGAATGTCAGTTTAGTATCGCACATTACTTCAACAAAATATGATTCGATTTCGCTATGTTAATTGCTTCTCCCAAATGATAAAACAAATTAGACCATCAAAATTACGAAATTACAGGCCATGAAGTACTTTCGTTCATATCTCTGTCCGACTAGGCCGAGCCTTGAGAGGATCTCTAGCCTTGAACTCAACAACGGGAATCTCCAACGATTGACGTACGGATCGATAATTTGGGAATTCCTCAGAGTTACTATTACTCTCCATTCTTGAAGCTCAAATCTCCACTGAAAACTTTTGACTGACAGTGGTATCCCACACTATCTAGTCCGGTTGCCAACTCATACGTATGAAAGCCCATCCGAGCTTTGCTTAAACTTAAACTTATCGTGGAAGGCTCTTCTTCCACGATTCTCAAGAGCATATCTGATGCTCATCTTAAATGTCTCAACAGCATATCTGATGCTCATCTTTGTTTATGAATAATAACAGTATTAATTGTAATATAATAATAATTATTATTATTCGTAACCCGCAATTGCAACCCATCGTACGTAACCATTAATCCAACCGGTCACGTATTAAGGTCGAACCTAAATCCAGAGGTCGGAGTGTTACAACTAGATAAATACATTCATTCATTAAAACACTAAAATATCCATACACACATACTTAGTAACCCTAAAACTAGGGTTTGGCGTTTAGAACCCCTAGTACTTTAGAGGACTACTCCATAAAGGAGAGAAGAAGAGACATAGAATAGGTGGAAGAAGACTTGACTTTGAGGAATATGCCTCCTCTTCTTCTAAATCCTTCTCCTCTTCTCCTTCCTTCAGCTTCTCTCTATTCTCTCTCTCTAAAACCAAAAATTCTATCTAAAAATCAGCTCTCTTGAATGGGGGAAATTGGTATTCTATTTATAGGCATCAGAGGATAGAGAAGATCGTGGGCAGGAAGGGTCGAGATGGTGGGCGAGATCTTCTACACAGAGGTCGCGATCTCGAAACTCTGTCATTTCGTCCTTCAGGGGCGAGGAGTTCGCGGTTGCGATCCATGAGTGGCGGCCACAAACTTCCTCACAGTCAATTTGTTCTTCGGTCGTGTTCTACCTGGAGAAACTCTCTATTTCTCCTCGACTGCTCCTTCACGAAGTTCACGCCCTGAGCCCTCCTGATCGCGGGCCTTATCTAAGGCTTCCAGGCCGCGATCTTTGGCTTGTCTTTGCAGGCATTGCTCTCTGTCCTGATCTCTGGCTACAGACTGCGATCTTCAGTATCTGCCCATTTGCTACACTTGTGACCTTATTTTGTACCTAATTCGCATGTATTGTCTAAAGCACCCTAAAATCACGTTGAATTATGCACATAAATTGGCACAAAACAAACCTTAATATGAAGGATAAATAACACCAATTTATGTGTTATCAATGCTAGTTTCCCTCTAGTACAATTAAAATTTCCACCCACTTGATAGGATTGCCAACTTGAGGATGTGTTTTCGAGAGCACAAATAAAACTCTGACACCTCTTGGCTGCATTGACCCTCCGCACGATATAGGAAAAAGAGCAAACACAATGGCTTGATTAGGCTCGCTATGTACCAAAGTACGAGGCACAACCCCCTTTTGCACACAATAGTGACACAAAAAGTGCAATGCGGCATGGAAAAATCATCTTATTGCAGAAAACGTCACAATTTGCAAAACATAGGCTTCGCCCCAATATTCGTAAAAGAATACTCGAGGCAAAAAAGATAACCTTATATCGTGATAAGCGAAGTATTTCCTTCTTACAAAGTACGTTTGAGCATCCTTACCAGGATAAAAGGTTTCTAAGTGCAAGGGTTGAGCTTGTAAGTAGAGATGACAATTACCCACCCATGGTAATTTAACCCAGATCCATATAATATACATAGATTAATGGGTAGGGTATGGGGGAAGTCTATATGTGCTTGGAGGTTTTTAAATTGGTTTGGGTAAGGTATGGATATTGCTTTTATAATCTAAATTGGTATGGGTTGGATATGGATACCCATTTACTTGAGTGTGTTTTAACTACACATACAAAATTTGGACCTATTTGTAAAACTTGAAAAGTTTAGGTACCAAAATGTAAGACAAAAAATTTGTGTACTAAATGTAATTTTCCATCAATATTTTGGGGACTTATATGCAAATCTTTTAAGTTTAGGTACCAAACTGTAATTTGCATTTGAGTATGGGTACAAACCCAAATCCATTTGTTAAAAGCCCAACCCAAGTAAATGAGTATGGCCGTATGGGTACAAACCCATCAAACTCTACCCATCTACCAACTATTTGAATTTCATACCCAACCCAATTGGGTTGGATAGTAAAATACCCATGGGTATGAGCAAAATTGTCATCCCTACTTGTAAGCTTCTTATGATTGCTTCAAGTGCTTTTTAGAAACCCTAGGATTGCTTTTATAAAATTGATACGCTTTTGGTAGCGTTTTTTGCATTTTCAAGGCCGAGCAGCTTAGTGGCCACTTGGAAGCCGAAAGGGACATCGAGCCCAAGTTGTTGTAGCAAGATTATGAAGAAAGAACGTCAATGAAGAAACGTGCCCATGGCGCCATTTTTACTAAAGGAAATGGCGGTCACAATGTCATTTGCTAGAGCCAACCTTTTCATCAAGAAGTTATCTAGAAGCAGCTTGATTTGCTGGCCACGAGTTTGGAGGCTTCTGATTTGTCGAATGACATAGTATGGGCGATTTTCTTTCATTGTAAAGCCTAATGGAAAAACTATAAATAGGCCACTAGCGCTAGAGCTAAAGGAGGGGTGGGAGCGACGAGAGGTAAAGGAAAGGTCGTTACTCTGCCGACAGAAAAATCCTACTAACTTAGTGCGACGACACCTTTTAGGGAGAATCAGCGGTGAAAAAGGCGCCACTAGGCCTCTTTTCTCTGTTTTGGCTGCCGATTTCTATGGTCTCCTGGAGTTTTCATTTTCATCGATGAACGCCAACGACACCCAGATTTGTCGGTACTGTTATGAAGATCTCCACGTGGGCCGCTTTTTAGTTATATTTTGTTTTGGTGTACTTGCAAATTAACAAAAATAGAAAAAATAATTTGAATTTTTGCCCGACTAATATAACCTTATGCATCGATCGTTAGTCAATGGTATTAACCGTTCAATTTGATAGTCGACTCACAGGTTCGACCAAATTTTTTTGAATGGTGCATAATTTTGTCAGAATGAGTATTTCAGAAACCTGAAGTATTAACCCAATAAAATAAGACAAACTTAAACCACCCCAGCCTCTTTCTAAGCACTCCTCGGGTGGTTTCTGCCTTCTTGTTTGCTAGATCTATGAGGTTTTGGAACATGCATCGGATAAAGCTGTTGGTTTTCATCTGATCTATGTTATTTTAACTAATGATGAATGCTTTTGTCTTGTTTTGGTCCATTTTAGCGAGAATTAATGATCAGCTGGGACTGTAGTGGTGATCGAGATGGAAGACAACTGTGGTAGACAGGTAAACACTTGCTCCTTCGCATCCGTTTTTCTTTGTAAAAGAAATTTCGTCTTAGGAAACTCTGATTCCTGCTTCTGGGTTTCTGATTACTATCTTAGTGATGTTGATGTTAGACATATAATTAGTAGAATCATAATAATTAATAATGTTAGTTAAATAGGGTTAGGCGGCTAACGTAGGCCGATTAAGTTAGGATTAGTTTATTAGGGTTTTGGGTTTATTCCCTATAAATATGTACTTTGGGTTTACGTCATAACCAATCAAGAACAATATTAAGAAGAATCTCATAAACCCTAGTTTATCCTCTCAACTCCTAATTTCTATCCTCTCCTAATCCAAAGCCTAGGCCGATTCTCAATTCTATTCTTTCTCTTCTAAATCCCTAATCTCAACCCTAAATCCATATTCATTACGAGTAGTTACGGGTGCCGAAGATCAGTCCCAAGAATCCCTAGAAGCGGGGTTCTTTCAGTGGTACAGAGCCTGGTTGCAGGCAGTAGCGGATACATGGATCATTAGGGGTGTCCCGGGACACCCCTAAAATTTTGGATAATGATTATCCAACCACAAATAATAGTTTCGTATGGATAAAAAAATTAAAATTGGTAATCCGGGACACCCTTAAATTTTTAAAAAATGATTATCCTAATCTCGGTAGTAATTTGTGTATGATTAAAAAAATATAAGTGGTACTTTGTATTCAAACCTAGAACACTACTATTATTAAACATATTCTCTAGGTTTCGACTCGTTTCTTGTTCTATTTTAAACACTCTAAAATAGTAAAAACATTATTTCTTATCCCCAATTATTTTCAAAACCTAACAATTAAACTAATTACGGGTTATCCTTAAGTTGAAATGATTTCATGGTTACACGACAATAGTTAAAAGAGTCTTTCTACTTTGAGTTAGATCAAGAACAAGTTTAGAAATCGAATATGCAATCAGTTCGTGCATTATTGTCTAGTAGGATATACAGATTTGTTGAACAATGTAGATATTCAGTCTATTTTATATTGTTTTTTCAAAATATGAAAATACGTCCTGATCTTTTGTTAAAATATGTACTAGTCGGATATTTTCTAATTTATGAATTATTTAATTAATTTTTAATTTAATTTAATTATTGAAGAGGACACCCCTATAAAAAATCCTGGATTTGCCACTGGTTGCAGGTACTCGTACCAGAGCCCCGTCGACATTCGAAGGGCTCTCAATCGAAGAACTCACCAAAGCTCTTATGATGAAGTTGAAAGCGACGAGAACAGAGAGGAGTCTGATCATACTTCCAGTCGCAACTTGCACCGTAATCAAACCGCTGATCGCATATATGAATTTCGAAGATTAGTTGGAACAACCTGCATTTCCAATCGACCTCGAGCGAACTGGAACAACGCCACATGTGACTATAGTGACAGATTCGCTGGCCACAAAAGACACGCCGACGCCACCAATCACTACCATTGTGAAGGTCGAGATGACATCGAAGGAGAAGCAAATGGGGCGACGATCGTCGGCAGCTCCATTAACGACGACGACGAAGAAGGAATCGCAGGAGCCGGAATCGCGAAGAACACCGCGATCTTCATCACCTTTCTACACGGCAAAGAGGTTGTCGCCGAAGAAGAAGATGACGGAGGTGGGTGCACGACTAAGGGGCGCATTCGTGGCGGCGTCAGTTGGTGAGGATTTGCCGCCTCAAACGTCGCCGGCGAATGAGGCGAATTCGGACTGGCCGCCTAGCCGTCAGAGGGAGCGCGCGCTGTCGGAGAACGAGCTGAAGTTGGAGATAAAGGAAGAGCTACCGCTGGCAGGGAATAGTAAGAAGAAGAAACGTGGCGGTGGCGGCGGTGGAATCCTCTACTCACTGCCGGACAGAGGAGCGATGAAGGCGGCGTACTTTGCGCTCGAGGAGAAGGTTTTGACGGAGCTTGAGGCGGAGATTAAGATGGCGGATCGGGAGGATTCGCCGAAGATGCCAGTCGCGTGGATTCAGCGATCTGCTCCATTCGGAGTGACGGTGGTGGGGGTCGGGGAAGCCGGCGACGAGGTTAGAACCGCCGGAGGACGAATTGAAGAGGCGACCGCCTGAGAAGGGTTCGAAGATGAAGGAGGGCGGCGGCTGCGTCTCTCTTCTCGTAAGCTCTAGGTCGGCCACCTTCGGCCAAGCCATCAGCAACAGCTTTTACATTTGGGCCGGGATGTGGTTTTGTCTCATTGTAGGTTGTCTACCAGAAACATGATCCAAAGGAGCAGGTGCATTTTTTTCCCATTCCCAATTGATTATGCCAATCAATTCCTCTGCCTTTCTTTCTCAATTGAAGATCCCCTGTGTTAAAGAAAAAAAGTGTTTCTTCATGTGGTTTCTTATTTACATGTTCTACAATTCTCGACACTTCATAATTTTGATTACTTATGCTAATTGTTTTGTTTTATATAGGCGAATCGTCCCTGCGATAAGAAATCTCAACTGAGACCAGTGCGAGAGAGGAAACAATTAGTGGAATCAGGAGCGGACAACAGAGAGGGTTGTTGAGGGCCTGTTCAACAACGAGGGTGGGTTGGTGATTTGATTTGCCTGCCTTAAAAATGCAGTCCATGTTTCTGAAACTTTCAGGTCTGTGTGCTCCCAACTGTTGTGAAGATCATCCCATGATCCTGCTGAGGTAATCGAAGAAGCATGATCAAGTTCTTCTGCAACTTAGAAGCTGCTGCACCTGGAGAACAGAATGCTGAAGAACAACAAAGGACCCAAGTGCAATAATTCAGAAGTTGTGGAGACCCTTCTGTAATTATTCCGCTGTACTGCTATAGGATAGTAGTCGTTTTGCTAAGCTTCATTCGTTATTGTTTAAACAGTGGTCTTTGCCACTTGTCACGTTGTGACTGGTGGTTTTGTAAAGAGGTTAATGTAACCGTTGTATATATACAAGGACCACTGTGTCCCAGAGCTGGCATTGAGCCTCCTCTTCAATTTTCCCTTTTCTCAACCCTATCTCCTCCTTCTCAGCTCGTCTTCTTCTTCCCTCAAAACCCTACAAACCCTAAACCCATTCAGGAATTTCACATGGTATCAGAGCTTGGTTGCTCTTGATCAACCATTTCCCTTCTTCAAGACTTCACTCTCATATCCCTTTCAAGTTTCCTTTTTCCAATTGATTCACAATGAGTACTTCAGCTACTGCATCAGATTCAACCAGCGGAACGATTGTGAACCGGGAAATCAAGTTTGAAGATCCTTACATGAATCCTTACTACATGTCCACTGGAGACAGTGCATTCACATCCATCCTCTCCTTCAAGCTCACTGATGATAACTATCTTGTGTGGAGCGAATCTATGGAAGAAGCTCTCAGAACCAAAAACAAGATGGTCTTCCTCGATGGGACACTTCCTCCTCCAGATGGTAACAACCCTTTACATTCTACTTGGATGAGAGTTAATGGAACCATTCTCTGCTGGATAAGAAGTTCTGTTTCTGATGATATCAGACCTAGCCTTATGAAAATTAAAACTGCGAGTGAGGCTTGAAGGTACTTGAAATCGAAGTTTGGTCAAAGAGATTCCATTAGAATAGCTGATTTGACAGGTCGTTTGGCGACTTGTACTCAGGGTAATCAATCTGTAAGATAGTTCTTTACTGATCTGAAAGTTTTGTGGGATGAACTCGACTCATATCTCCCTATTCCTATGTGTGATTGCCCTTCCAAGACCTATGAAACAGTACGTATGTACAGGGAAAATGGGAGAGTCATTAAGTTCTTGCAGGGGTTATAAGTCTGTCATTCAGCTGGAAAGGCAGATGAAAGGTAATGGTTGATTGGAAGCAAGCTTGCAGAATCCATTGCCCTTGCAGCAGGATCCAATCAATCTCAGAGACAGTACCCTAGATCTCAACCAACTCCTCAGGCAGATCCAAACCAAGAACTCTTCTGTGTTTACTGCAAAAAGAACAATCATGTGATTAAAGATTTTTATAAGCTAAAGATGAAGAAAGCTAGAGAGAAAATGCAGGAAGACAACTCAAGATTTGTTGGATCTGTTGATACTGGAGAACAACTTTCTCAAACTCCTACACAAAGGAGGACAAAACAACATCAATGACACTCAGTCCATTCTTGCAAGGTTATCTACAGCCATGGAAGATTTCAGTAAACTGAAAGCTATGATGCAGCAGCAATCATCTCCTTCACCACCACTTTCACCCATTGTTCCTGCTGCACATTCAGTCACTCTCAATCGACCATCCACTTCTATGGCAGGTACATTTGCTCTATCAACAAGAATGACTGGGATTAAGCATGTTTGGGTCCTAGATATAGGGGCTAGTGACCATATCATTTGCTCTGTGAACTATTACCTTAAGTACAAGCCAGTAGGGATATTTAGATTGTCATGTGGTTTGCTGTTAACCAATGTCCTTTGTGTTCCTTCCTTGCTTACAAACTTGTTTCTGTAAGCAAATTGACCAATGATTCTCCAGTTTCACTCATTTTTTGTTCTGATTTTTGTGTCATTCAGGACCTCATTTCTCAACTGAGGATTGGTTTGGTCCGAGTAAATAGAGGGCTCTACCTTTTTGATCAATCCCAGACATCAAGACCTTTCACATCTTCTACACCACAAGCTTTTAACCTTTGGCACAGTAGACTTGGACATCCTTCACTCCCCAAGCTACAAGAAATACAAAAACAACATAAGGAAGTAGATACCAGTACAGTTACACACTGTGAAGTCTGTCACTTAGCTAAACAGAAAAGGCTCCCTTTTGTTAGGAGCAGTTCCATTAGTAAAGAACCCTTTGATATGATACATACAGATATTTGGGGCCCTGTTGATACCCCTTTTCTTGATGGTTTTATCTATTTTCTCACTATTGTTGATGACTGTAGTAGATTAGTTTGGATTTATCTCATGAGAAGTAAATCAGAAGCAGGAACCTTTCTCCAATCTTTTCATGCTCTTGTTGCAACTCATTTCAACAAACATATCAAAATTGTGAGGTCTGGCCAAGGTCAGGAGTTTCATTTAAAAGATTTCTATCAACAGAATGGGATCATCCATGAAATGAGCTGTGTGAGAACAGCTCAACAAAATTGGCGAGTGGAAAGGAAGCATCAACATTTGTTGAATGTATCTAGGGCTTTGAGATTTCAGTCTGGCTTACCTGTCACCTTCTGGAGTTTCTTTGTGGTTCATGCTGCATTTCTGATCAATAGACTTCCTTCCCCAATCCTTTCAAACAAAACCCCATTTGAAGTTCTTTATGGTGTACCACCTGATTACTAAGACCTCAAGGTTTTTGGATGTTTAGCTTATGCTACATCAATATTGCCCCACAAACCTAAGCTAGCAGCAATCAAGTGCATTTTTGTTGGATATGAGTTTGGAGTTAAAGGCTATAGACTCTATGATCCAGATACTAATGAAGTTTTCACTTCTAGGGATGTTGTGTTTCATGAAACAGTTTTCCCCTACAAAAATGCTATTCTTGTCAGCAGCCCTCCAGCAAACTCTAATCCAACTGAAACCATTTTTCCTTCTTCTTCACCTATCCAAGACTCTTCCCCTCTCATTCCTTTCTATCCAGAACCTCAGGATCCCACTAATCCTGACTACAGTCCTCAATCACTTTCTAGTTCATCTTCTGATGAATCCTCTACTTCTCCTTCTCTCACAGAGCAAACCCCTCCTATACATTCTTCCACACCTATCCCTCTTTCTTCTCCATCACCTCCTACCTTCCTTGCTCCTTCACCTAGCTAATCACAGACTGTTTCACCAGCACCCCTTGCTCTACGTAAGTCAGATAGAGTGCACAAACAACCAGCCTATCTTCAAATGTATCACCTAGGCTTGGCTACCAAGACTCCTATTCCCCTACCTAATATTCCTTTTCCCATTTCCAATTATCTATCCTACCAATTCCTTCCTCCTAATTACAGATCCTTCTATCTTAACATCTCCTCTTGCATTGATCCTGAATAATATGAAGAGGCAATGAAAGAAGGTTACTGGGAACTTGCTGTGAATGATGAACTTGCAGCCCTCGATCGAAACCAGACTTGGATCATTATTGATAAGCCTGTAGATAAAACTCCAATTGGTTGTCGTTGGATCTTCAAGACCTAATTTCGTTTAGATGGCACCATAGACAGGCATAAGGCCAGGCTGGTTGCCAAGGGGTACACTCAAGTTCCTGGTATTGATTTTCAGGATACATTCTCTCCAGTAGCCAAACTGAATTCTGTTAAGTTGTTGCTGGGAGTTGATGCTGTCAGGGGGTGGATATTACATCAGATGGATGTAAGTAATGCATTTTTGCATGGGGATTTGGATGAAGAGGTATATATGGTGTTACCACCTGGTTTGCGTGAAAAACCTGAGTATAAAGGAAAAGTTTGCAAACTACATAAGTCACTTTATGGTCTTAAACAGGCTAGTCGACAGTGGTTCATCAAGTTGGAAACTTTTCTAGTTGAATCAGGATTCACACAGTGTCATGCTGATCATTCAGTGTTCAGGTTTACAGTTGATGATTCTATTGTGGTGTTAGTTGTCTATGTTGATGATATCATCATTGCTGGCAACAACATGGAACTAATCACCAAGCTTAAGAAACACTTAAAGTAGGCCTTCAAGATCAAGGATATGGGAGAACTAAAATATTTCCTTGGTCTGGAAATTGCTCGATCAAGTTCAGGCATCATGGTTTCACAAAGAAAATATTGTTTAGAGCTGTTGGCCAATTCAAACTTTCTGGATTCCAAACTAGCCAAGACTCCATTAAGTCAGAAGGTTGTTTATTCAGCAGAAGATGGAGAACCATTGGTAGATGGAAGTGCATTCAGACAACTACTGGGGCAGCTGCAGTATTTAACTACAACTAGACCAGACATCTGCTTTCCTATTCACCAGCTGTCACAATTCCAAGCACAACCAACTACTGTACATTTACAGAGTTTGTAGAGAATTCTGAGTTATCTTAAAGGGAACCCTGGTCAAGGATTGTTCTACTCATCATCTACTACATTACAACTTTCTGGTTACTCAGATTCAGACTGGGCTACATGCTCTGATACAAGGAAATCAGTTACTGGATATTGTACTTTCCTGGGTTCCTCGTTGGTGACTTGAAAAAGCAAGAAACATACTACAATATCCAGATCTTCTTCTGAAGCTGAATACAGAGCTTTGGCTCAACTGTGCTGTGAAGTGCAGTGGCTCAAGGTAATGCTTAAGTTCTTCTTATGCAATCATCCTGAACCTATTACACTATACTGTGATAATCAATTCGCCATTCACATTGCGGAAAACCCAGTTTTCCATGAACGAACGAAACATATTGAGGTGGATTGTCACGTCACAAGCGAGAGATTGAAATCAGGTTTGATTGCATTGAAACATGTAAGAACGGATGTGCAGTTAGCAGACCTATTCACTAAGGGTCTTGGATCAGAAAGATTCTGTTTCTTACT